ATGTCTATCTAAACAGTGACTTTTCGTATGGTTTAAATAAAATTGACAATAAAAAATGATAAGTGTTCACAAAATCATTTATGTATATTAAAATAATTTAACTTATTCTGAGCATTTAATTAATTAATAAATAAATTAAGTAATAATTATATCATATAATAAAAATATTTATAGAACTAATTATTATAAGCTATTAATGATAAAACCATGTTTTGCTTAATCTGTAAAACAAACATAAGTGATGTCATCCTATTTGTGGTGTAAATCGGGAGGTTTTTCGCCCACATTACTATATCTGACATTTTTATTAAATAAATATTTTGTACATTAATAATATAAAACTCTTATAGATTTTATACTTTATTTATAAGAATTCTCTGTATTTTCTGTCAATTTATTCCCATTTAAATGGTATTTGTATTTTGTTGTTATTGTTTTTGTTTATTAACATTATTAAGTTATCAAAATATATAGAATATTCTAACGCTTAATATGTTATTAAAAACATTTAATAAAGCATTTTGTATGCAATGTTAAACACATGAAAAGAGAGTTATATCTTTAGTTAAATAAATCATAAAATTTTTTATTTTCTAAAATTAATACTTTTATAACCGTTGAATATATCTAAAAATGTTATGATGTAAAAATAAATTTGCCTACAATTATATTTATTCAGTGTTATACTTAAATTTTTATTACATTTTCGTTTAATTGAATTTTCTTTTTACAACACATGTATTAATTTACTGTATATTTTAAATACACAATTATATTAATCTAACATTTTCATATGCAATATATTGTATTCAAATTGTATAATATAATTTATATATTTAAATTTATATACACTGTATAGTAAAATAATTTATTAATTATAATAAATAGATATTATTAACAATTAGACTTCTTCTAGCATTTTTATTAATGTTTGTTTTAAAATTTAGTAATACTTATACGTTGATTACTTAACTTTAAGTTTTTAATTAACAAAATATTATAAATATTGCTAATTATGTTTATAAATTATAAAATATTTACAAAAGCTATGAAACATAAACTCTTTGACTTTAATTCCTAAATCATGACTATTGCAACAAAATTTGTCAAAATATTTATTAATAAATAAAACTATGAATTGTTTACTATTTTGATGGGTTATCTTTATTAAACTATTAATACAACCAAATAAGTAATTTCCGAAATTTAATTGCATTTGAAAGCAATAAAATAAATTTTTAAGAAATTCATTTTAAGTTTTATGTATCTAAGTTTACTGTAACAACTAATAAATACTTGAAAATGTATATTAATAATTCAAATAATTTAAATAAAACATGTCTTAAGTATTCACAGATTATAAAATTTATATTTTTGAGTATTTTTGTAATTTTGTATATACTGAAAATTTCCTAATTGATTTTATCAATAATTATATAAAATTTTGTATAATGTATTAAAGACAAAATTAATTTATTACTAAAAGTTTCACTAATAACATATTGAGAACATAAATTTATGTTAACAATAAAAATAATTGTTATTTAAATAAATTATAGACTGCATAAACAAAATTTTAATGTTTCAACACATATATGGAAAAACCTATGAACGCAAAAAATGATTATAAATAAGTGAAAATATTTTTGTATGATTTGATTGAATAATCAATTGGTATGTATTGAAACTTTTGTTGTTGTATTTGAAAACTTATTGACATTTAGTTATAAAGTTAATAAGTAGTGGTCTTTTAATTTATTATATTATAAAACAAGAGGTGATGTCATGCGTACAATCAAATGGATAAGTTTGAGGGGGTTTTGCTTAGCCATACAACTAATGGGTTCCGCTTTCATATCATATAAAGATTTACTGAATATGAGTAGTAGTTTCTCAATAGTTTAGATAAGGGTTCATCATATAAGTAGAGTGTGAAAGAGTATATCATATATTAAGTGATTTTTTGTATCTTTCATATCATATAACACACCGATTGCTGCCCACAACTAAATTTGTTTAACTAATATTATTATTAAAGCATTGAAATTATATTTATTGGTAAATCTTTGTTTTATTTGATAATTGATATAAATTGGAGTTAAATTAATGCTAAATAAATGTTAATTTTTAATATTAGTGAAATGCGTTCACTAAGGACTCAGTTGATGTTACTTATAGTGATATTGATGGTTACCTGTTGTCTGCAGAGAGTGCTGTCATCCCCACGATGTGTGGCTCTCTGTCACCGATCAGAAGCGGATTCATTGTGCAAAAGATGTCGTTTTCGGGAACCCATGAGATTCGGCAAACGTTCCGATAGACAGGCTTTTCGGGAACCCATGAGGTTTGGCAAAAGGATGCGCACCTATGATGACACCGATGTCCTATATAAGAGGTCCGTCAATTCATATCCATTATTGAGAGTGTTATTACACCCAATAGGAGACACACTTATTTCAGATTAGTTTTTATATTAAATGATTATATAATTATTTTCCATATATTTTTAATATTTATTTTAGAATTTCATTAGTTTTTATTTATAAATCAAATCAAATACTCTAATAAATTACATAAAACTTAATACATATATTCATATTTATTTATTGAACATTTCATAATAATCGTAATACTTTATAATAATTCTAAAATATATATTCATTGTATATAAAAACTTAGAGTAATATATATATAAATACCTGTATAAATATTTGTAATGTTGTATTAGAAAAAAGTTTTAGTCATTAACATATTGTTAAAATTTTTATTTATTTATATTTTATTTATTTAAAAAATTATTTTTTATTTATACAAAAAATATCAATCACATTTATTGCACAAACATAAAAAATTTTCTATTTAAAATATTAAATGTAAACAAGTTATTTAAAAATAATGTGTTTAAAAATAAAACATTATTATGATACTTATTGTAAAATTATAAACAAATAAAATTATCAAATTGTTTACCATTAAAATTGTATTTTTTCCAAATTAAGTCATCTTTCAATTAAATTATTGATTCCTAGAATCAGTTAATTTATAGAAAGCTTTTCATTATATAAAAGAATTTATTTATTAGATACACATTTACCGAAACACATACTGTAGTATAAATATATATATATATTAATATATATCTAACATTTAATTTTATTAAAAAAAAGATTTGAAAAGCATTTTTATATGTAATGATAGGCAACTAATTTAGTCAATAAATGATAAATTAATTATTTAGCACGTGTTTAGACCATATTAAATTAATCTATTACGAGAAAAACATGTATTTGATATATGATATGATATTTGCTTAAATAATTTATTCTTAATGTACAAAATTAGTAGTTTAATAATATAGACACTACTGTAATAATAATATAGACACTAACGCTTTAATAGATAGTCATATAGTAGTAGTAGTAGTTGTTGTCTGTCTATGAAAATAATTGTTTTCAAAAAAAAATTCTTTTATTTTTTTTTATTTGAAATATCTTTTTGGGAATGTTTTTTATTTCTACTATTAATAAACTTGTTTTAAAAATAGTATTTTCAAATAAGATTGTTGAGTCAATTATATGTTAAGCTATGGCGTAAATTATTTATTAAATATTATAAAAGTATTGCAATTTATAGGTTTTAAGGTGCGATCAGCAAACTGTGATAATATGACAGTAATTTTTGTGTCAATTATTTGCTTGAGTGTAATGTGTAAGGTATGTATATATTTAATATATACTTTTATATGTCAATTATGTATAATATGTAAACAATTTTGTAATTTAATAATATTAATAAAGCTTAAAATATTACATTATTAATTTAATAACAAACATGGTTAAATTATTTTATTTTAAGAGTAAATTTAATACAAATGTATATATATATATATCAGACAAGGATTAGTAAATAACTTAAATAATTTAAAATAATGACACTTTATTATTTCAGTATTGCATTATAGTTAATCATTTAAAGAGATATAATTAATTTTTTGTGATTTGAATACAAGTAACAATAAATGTTTTATTTTAAATAATATATTGTTAGTTTTGAATCATTAAACCATAAAAATTGAATAAATACAAAATATACATTCAAAACACCTGTCTAAGGATGTAATAATATTTTATATCATTTAAATTATTTAATAAAAAACTTGCTATTGTTATCATATAAATATTAATAGTAATTGTTTTTTTGCAACAAATTAAGTAACTTATAAACAATATATCTATAAGTGTATCAAATATAACAATACAATACTAACAATTTTTGTGGAAGTTTGACAAATTTAAGTAATTTAGTATAATAATTATAATTATTATTATTATTTTACTATTATTATTACTATTATAATTAATCTACCCACTCTTAATATCAAATTTATTTTTATAAAATTGTTAGGATTTCGCCATTTTAAATATGCATTACTCAATATCACTAAATAATAAAAATTTTAATAACATCAGTTTAAAACTAACTCAATGAGTGATCTGAATATAATAACATTTTAAAAAATAAATAAAGTAAAACCCGTGAGATTTAACACAATTTTATAAAAAAAAATTGCCATCATTTTTGTTATGAATTTTTATAAGTTATTTATATTTTTATTGATAAAATATTAAACAAATAAGATTTAAAAATATATTATATATTCTTGTTTTAAATGTTTATTTTAAATATTAACTACAAATAAAAGAGGAAAATATTATTTACAATAAACAATATTTTATTGTATACTTCATTTCCACAAACTTTTATTTTTTATATTATATTCTTAATGTTATGTATTAAACTGTATTTTTTAAACTATTATATTACATATTATCAATATATATACTGTATATATGATCAGCAAATTGTATATTAACTTATTAGTTATCAATTATATTTATTTGACAAAAAAAATATTTAATATAAATATAGTCAATATAATAATGTTATATATATATATAATATCATATATTATTAAAAGATATGTGAATAACAATTCCCATTTGCGTGACATATATTCCGTCAGCAAAGACATCATTACATAACAGCTCACTGTTTGTTGGATTGTATAGCAAACGGTGAAAGTAGTGAATCGCCATCAATAGCAGTGGTGACCCCCGTTATGTGGGTGGCTCTACCCGAGGCCAAGAACTCGACGGTTCTGGCGATCTCTTGTGGTTCACCCAAACGTTTCAATGGATAGTGAAGTAGTTTATCATCTTCTGACTTATCTTCTTCACAACAAACACTTCTCGACACTTTTGGTCGCAAAAATGATGGACTGAATCACATTTAATTATAATATATACATAAAAATTTATATATTTCTCTATAAGTATTGGATGTAAATGTGGTATTATTACAAAATACATAGATTAAAAAAATAAATAAACTAAATTGATACACAACTAATCAGTTATTTTATGTTATAATTTATAATATGTTTTACACGATTTGAATTTATTATATAAAATGTTAACTATAGTAATATATTGTCTAGTATTTATTGGTTGAAGTATACCATTGTATATTATACATTATAATACATTTATGATCTCAATATCAATAAATAAAACAAATGTAAAAATTTAATAAAAATTTAATTATATAAAATCTATTATATTTGTTTAAATGGTGACTATACTTTAAATGACAAAAATAATATAACGTCACTATTAATCATTAATGAATAAACTGTATTTATTACTGCATTTTGTATATGTAATTTTTACTATATGATAAAACTATTTAATCTACTAATTTATGTGTATTATTATACCACTTTTAATTGTAAATATAGATGAGATTGAAAATTAAAATTTTACAAATATTTTATATAGAATTGATATAAAATATCGCATAATTGAATAATAGATATTTAAATTTTACGAATTTGGCATAAAATAAAATAAAATAATAGTTGTATACTGTATTATACAAAACATTTGAAGTTAAACTTAATAAATAATTGAACAATTTTTTCAAAATATGTATTTTATATCTTTTAGATATAATACAAGTTTGTAATCCAATTTCATTTCCTTTGCGGACTATATTTCTTTATAAACTTTTGACAACTTTTTTTCACAACTTATTATTTTTATATATAAATCGATATAAAATCATATTAAACATATCTAATACTATATTATTTATTTTATAAAGTGTTAGAAAATAAAATTGAAATGATTTTTATAGTTATGACTTACTTAACAGCATTTACTCGAATCCCTTTGTGTTTTAGGTCGAGTGCCAGACATTTGGTCATCATATCTAACGACGCTTTGCTCATACAATATAATGAATAGTCAGTAACCTGTTTAACAAAAAAGATGACAAAATGGTTTACCGGTCACTGAATTTGTGATATAACTGATTGACTGACATATTGGATGTCACCGATAGTCGTCAAACTACTTACTGGATTACTGGCCGCACGACTCGATATGTTAACAATACAACCATTGGTTAACTCCAAGTGTGGTATTGATAGCTGACTGAAACAACAAAAATCGATAAATTAATAACTTTTTATACAAATGTACCAAAATTGTTACGAATCAATGATTTCTCTATTTTATAATTATATACTTTAGTTATAATAGTATTTAAATACTATTTTAAAAAACTACTGGTAATGATATAAAATTATTGTCTGTATAAATAATATAATACCTAAGCAAAAAAGTTGACCGCACGTTGACATGCATGATGTGGTCGAAAATATAAGCCGATTTAGGGTCATCTACTTTACTCATACCACTAACATTGGCATTGTTTATAAGTACATCCAATTGACCAAACTCTTCAATTGTCCGACGAATAAGACGCCGACATTCACAGTCTTTGGTAAGATCTGCTACCACTTCAATCACCTGTTGTTTTCATATAATTTTGATTAATTTATTTTTAAAAATGTTTTTTAGTATTATATTTTATTGGTAAGTAGAAATTTATTTTTGATTAGTTATATTTTATTCAATAATATGCATTATTTAAAATTTTTTGTCATTTTAATAATTATATTTTAGATTAATTTTGTCACATAATTGAGAACTACGGAAATATTGGTTCTGTCATATGATTTATTTTTTAATATCATTTTTTATAATTTGTTCAATAAATATCTTATAAATGAAATTCAAAGCTATAGTATATACTATAGTAATAGTCTATTTTTGAATCATTAAATATTTAAAAAGTAATATATTTATATAGGATATGAATAAAATAGTGAACTAATATATTTATGATATGTAATCACAATGAAAGTTCAATTGAATGGACAGACATAAGCGCATACATACCTCAGCACATCTGGTGGCCACATATCTGCACTGTTGGGCCACTCGTCGTATTCGACATATGTTCCGACCCGTGACCACAACATTAGCGCCCAATTGTGAAAAATGAATGGCTATTACGGCTCCGATACCCGAACTCGAGCCTTAAACATAATAAAGATATCGCATAGTATTGAAAGACTATATATGAAAGACTAATTAATGATAAAATTTTAAAATTACATACCAGTGACTAAAACTACTTTCCTGTAAAAAGACATTTTCTTGTCATACAATTTTAGAAACACTTGTATTATACGACAAAATTCATAAACTCATTCAAAATTATAAATTTAACTCAAGTATTGCCAATTGAAATGAAATAAACAAATGAAATATTCTAATATTTTGTTCAAGTTTTGCATTTGTGCACAACTTTTATACTAAATTTAGTGATAATATTGTATCGATTGACAGTCAATCATATAATAATATATTCATAAAAAATATACAAAATTAATAGCATTCAAAAAGACGAGACAAACTCTGATAGCATTTTATGCTATTTAGACAATCAATAATTTTTGTTTAATTATAAAAATTATGTTATAATTTATATAATAAATATTAAGCCAAATATACCGACAAAAATATCTGTTTTGATTTTGACATTGAACTGAAACGCTTGGCAGACAATGTATACGTCAATCACTATAATATGTATGTTAGTAGATATATATCAATAAAAATACTTGTATTTGAACCATACAAAAATTATTTAACTGAAAAATTTAATAAATATTTTAAATAGATTATCTAAAATCCAATTTTTGGGTCTCAATATATTGACTCTAATGACGTAAAGTCTATATTGAAAACAAATCTTATGACACAATACTTCATATAATCATATTTTTATAAAATTAGTTTAATGTTCACAAAATAAGATAATAATTTTAATTAATTAAATTACATAAATAATGAATATGTTAACAATAATATTTTTAAAACAATATTGCATAATATTAATAGTTTTCTTTATAATTATCCAATAAGAGGCAGAACTTGTTTGGGTATAGTCATGGCTGGCCATACAATGGCAATGACACACCAGGCAACTGCTCGTCCCTGAGATAGACCGACAAATTGTAGGGCAACGGCGCAGACGGCTATTATTAGACCGAGAATTATGGCCAGAGATAAGTCCATCAAAATACTGAAAAATTTGTCGGACATTATATCACTGATCACTTGTCCTATAGATGTTCTCAATTGGTTTACAATAATAGCTCTTCGCCTAAATATATCAAATACCCTCAGTTCCCGATTAAAGCTACCAATCCTTGACTCTAAACAAACACACCGTTATGTTTTAATATACAGTATATATAATTGCAATTAAATTTATATTAAATAAACAATAAAATACCTAATTTAGATATTACTGGAATAATTGAATAATTTCGTTGAGCAACTCTGTTGAGCAGTTTTGTCAGATTTTTGCCATTATTTAAGTAATTGTATTTTGGGGTAAATTTATTTAACGGAATTATTTTACAATTGTTGAATTCATCATATGTTATGACTGAACTTAACACTATAATAACAATCAAAAAACAATATATACAAATACAAAATTTAGGTAAAAAATAATTTTAAATATTATTACCTGGTTTATCAAAAATAATTTTATAACAGTAAAATATGATTAACAAATTATAAAACATATTGAAAATTTTTTAATTTTTGTACTTAAAAAATTTTTAACACAAAATAAATTTATAAATCATTTCATATGATAACAAATTATTCACAATAAACAAAACATTTAGAAATTTAAATATTAAATCAAGACTAGCATCGAGTGATTCGATGCTTTTAAAGACAACAAATAATGAATTATTTGAAAAATAGATATAAATCTAGAGATCACTTGCGACTAACTATTTGATATTTTTTTCAGATGTTTCTCACATGAAAATAGATTTTCAAAGTTCACTGATTTTGATTGTCATAATAATATATATTATCATATGTGTAAAAAAACAATACATTATATAATCTATTATTGCTATAACTATGAAATGGTGTGAAATCATCCAAAAATGAATTTTTATGTCTGTATTTATAAAAGTTATTTTTATTGTAAATTACAATTTTAATATTGCAATATTTCACACATTATTCAAGGAAATTGTTAAAAATTATAAAAAATGTCACAAATTCTATCATATAAGTGACATAAATTTGTTTTCATACAAATAAATAAATCAATATTTAAATTTTATTTTATAAAAATCTAATTGACATTTTTATAAAAATAATAAGCTCCATTTCAAATTGTTATAATAAAAATATGATTTAATGTGCATTCAATAATTCTAATATAAATATTTCCTATAAATATCTAAAAATATTTAGAAACTATTATTAGCAAAGTATAATAAAATTCACATTACGATTACTTTTTTATAAACATTAAGTAAAATTTTTAAATTTTGTTAAGTTATTATACAAATATAATAAAATGATATGTATAAAATGTGCCATAAATAATTATTATGATTGTTTGTTGTCTTAATTTTATATAAAAAAATATTAATAAATTATGTAAAATATAATTATTATAAAAAAATTGAGAAAATAAGTCAAAACGAGTTTCTTCTGTTGTTTGTAATAGATGTCAAACTCTTGTTGTCATTAAATGTCAGAAAATCACAATTAGTTGGCTTTTTGAAGATCAGTGCCAACGACTCAATGGTATTCTTACCCTTAATTTGGATGTCCATGAGTTGAGATAAGGTTTTATGCAAATCACTGGCAATTGTTTCCAATTGAATGATACGAGAGGTCAGTATAACTTTGGATTCGTTAAGTGATCTGAGATTGTTGTTGACAGACGCCTGAACTGATGTCAGCCGTGACTGCATGTGTTTGACTCGTCCCAAGACATCCGCGTGTCCGGAGGCGTACTGTTCCAACACATCCTTAATGTCGTACGGCTTGAGTGCGGTATTAAACTTCTTGCGTGCGATAAAATACTTGACGACTCGTATGAATCTAATGGCAGATCTTTCCTGAAATGTCAACGGCTTGTCATGAATTCGTAAGTGTGGTTTCCACGTGACTTTAGACATGGAGTTTTCACTGGACACATAGCATCTCCACGTGCATTGAATTAATTTGGCTGTTAATCAAATTAAATGTAATTAAAAAAAATATATTTAAAAAAAATATATTTTAGTCTTTGAGATAAACAAATTTATATTTTAAGTGCATAGCAATAAAATATATAATTTTTAATGTCTTTATTTTTGATGTGTTATCTCATTAATTACATTACATTACATTACCTGCCGGTTCTCTACGTTTACCCATTTGGCGGACGCGTTGCTGTTCCTGCACCTAAATTATACATTTGATTACATTATTTGATTAAATATTTTATGTTTTCATTAATATTTATCTAATGCATAGTTTTAATATTTTTATTACATTTACTCTTAAAATTTAAATAATTAATGCAAATCATATTAAAATTAAATCATATTTTTAAAAATATATTATAAGTACAAATTTAATAGTATACTAATAATAGATATTACTAATACATTAAAAAAATATTTTATTGAATATAATGCTAATACCTTAAGAGCGAGTCCGGTACCTAAAATACCGGCCGGTAAGGCAAATATAGATACACCGATCACAATAGAAATTGAAGCCAAAAATTTACCCACAGGTGTAATGGGTGTCATATCTCCATAACTATTGTTTAGAAAAAATAAAATTTATATACATATAATTTACATAATTAACAAAATATTATTTTACTATTTTATTATCTGAATATATTACTAATAATATTAGATAAAATGCTTACCCGACTGTGCAAAGTGTGACGACCGCCCACCACATGGAGGCAGCGATACTATTGAACTGCGGATTAACATCTTTTTCAACAAAATAGATGACAAACGAGACGAAGAGCAGCGCCAGAAATCCCATATATGTAGTAATGGCTAAATGCTCTCTTTGTTGCCAAACAACAGATGACATGACAGGCCACGGACGGAACCGATGCTCCAAACGAAGCATTTGAAACACTTGAAAGAAACGAAAGCCACGGAAGTAGACAAACATTGTCTGCCGTTTGGTGTCAATCAATAAGACAATACATGACGTAATTATAACCAATATATCAATTATGCGAAATGGATTGCGAAGACTTTCATAAGAAATTGGTTTCAATTAATATAAAAAGTTTATTCAAATTAATATTAGATTTATTATTTACAAACGTAATGTTCCTCTCCAGCCTTGATCTGTATGTAATGATTAGTATAAATTAATTATTAATAATTAATTAAAAAATAGTTAATCAAACAAATCATTTACAATGTGATATACAGGAAGCGCTCCACAATCTGGCCATAAATTCTGCGCTGAAAAGTATGGCCACCAAACTGTCCATATATTTGAGTGCATTTGTTGCTGAAGATTCATAGACTGTACACAAAAGATAGAAATTTGTTTTCTCTCATAATTTATGATTAATTTTGTAATTATTTAATGATTACCAGAAACTGTTGAGAAGACAGTCAATACTAGACATACAAAAACGATAAATGAAACGAAAATATGGTATGAAATGGCAGTTCTTCCTTGAGGTCGGTTTAAGAAGTTATAGACATCAAACTTTTCCTTATAAAATGCGGTATCATTTCGTGATCGGCTCCATGGTATGGGTCGACCTAATATAGACAGTCTTATGGCTGGTTTCTTATGGCGATTGAATGCAGAGTTATTTGAATAGAGTCTACATATTAATGACTTTTTGCGATTTAATGGTAATTTGATTTGTGATTCAATATCTTTAACATTCACTCCTTTCTTATCGATGTCTAAATATGTATTGTTTAACGAATGGCTAAGAATTTGGCACTTTTTCGGTGATAATATAATGTCAGACAGTGTTTCATCCAATTCATTGATCGCATTGTTTTCATTACTTATATTCAGATTATTATTTGCATAAATTGTTGTCATATAACTAGTGGTTATATTATTGAAATGATTGCTATAATTAACACAAATATCCGTACATTCATCACAAGTGGCGTTTGAATCCATCGTTAAGTCTTCGTCTTCACGCTCTTCACAAAAACTATAAGACTCTACACTCGACTCATAATCAGGTGATTCCTGAGCTGGTGTTGTCACTACTGGTGAGCAATGGATTGAATCCATAATTAAAATAACCCACAAATCTGATAACGAAGAGACAGACAGACAGGTATTACTTAAGGTATATATGAATACTTTAATACAGTTTTTCTGGCTTTAAATATCCAGAATATCATTAAATTTTTTCACAAATTATTTGTAAACTTTTTGTCAGTTTTCTAAAAACAGGATTTTTTGAATACTTTAAATTAAAACAAAACACTATTTTTTAAAAATGATAATAAAATAAAATTAATTTATTAATTTTGACAAATATTCTACAGGAGATTCATTTGTTGCTAAATTTATGTGATTTTTAAAAAAAAAAATTCAAATAAAAAATTGTTTTAAATTATTTTTGTCAACATTTTAAGTTAAATACTTGATTTGTTTTCAAACATTATTATTGCTTTAGACTCTTCACTGTATTTGTCAAAGAGATTCATATCATTTTTAATGGAAAAATGTTAGTAAAAAAGTCTTTTTAATGATTTGTTTACTCACATCCTATTAAATCACAAGTTTTTAAGGAAATCACTGTTCATTACATATACATATTATGTAAATTTTCTCAAACATTTAATAAATTACAATTTAATATAATAATTGAAATTTTTAAAATAAAAATATTTTTTTAAAAATAAAGTTCATTCATGATTTGGCAATCATTTTTATATCAACATATAAAATATAAATTTTAAAATATTTATAACAAATTTCTCTACACTTGTAGTTGAATTTTTTTTTTAAATAATTGATTTAAAATGTTAACACTTGCTATGTTTGCATACAAAGAGTAATTTCTCTCATTTACGTAAATGTATGTAAAACACAACCATAACGTGAAATACCACATAATCAACATATTATATGAAAAAAATTCAATATTAAAACTTTATAATCATAATAATTAACGTTATATATCAAAATTATTTAAATGAAGGACATGTAAGCCATAAGTCTTTTGTTTGCTCATAAATTTGCGGCTTTTTAATCATTATTTTACATTTTAAATAATTATTAAAATCATTTAATGTACATTAAATAAGTTAAGTTAATTTTTTTATAAAATAATAATGTAGCTCATAATGAGCAATGTTAGAGTAATTTTTAAATTTGCGTAAATATACATTTTGTAGGTAAAGGTTTCGTTATTGATAAGATATTGATTATATTTTTAATGATAGTTTAGTTGAGAATAGCTATTAAATATAATAATATAAAATTTATATATACTGTTATGCTAATTTAAATATTAATCATATTTTATATTTGAAATGAATATACAGTATGTAGATTTTGAAAAATAATAACACAAAATGATATCAATGTATGCAAATAAGTTGCTTTTTATATTTATTATTATATTTAGTAAATATATTAATCATAACTTATAATGTGAATTTAATTATTTGTTTGATATAAATAGTTCACAGTTAGAAATAAATACAAATCCTTATAATATAAAGTATACCTCCCATTATAATCAAAAATTATTTTATTTAATAACTGTAATATTGATCCGATTGATTTAAAATTTAATATATATGTGTAAAATTATATTATATATTAAAATATATCAATTAAAATATTAATTTCAAAAATTTCCTTAACCGCACCTGCTACTTTACTGTATTGTATATTAAAACTAAGCAAAACAATAATTGTAATGTTTTTAAATTACAAAAATTTCTAAACTCAACATTTCTTAGAAATAAAATGTATTTATCACTAATTAGACTATTAATAAAATTTGAAAACTAAATTATGTTAATTTTATAATTAATTAACATTAAATTAATAATCTGTATTTTACGTGTATATAAATAGTATTATTATCAGGGTTGGAAAAATACAAGGTTTTCAATTTTGGCTTTGTAAATTACAGTAAAATACAATGTACTGGATGTATTTTACAATTATAGAAAAATTACATTAACAATGATAAAATATTTATTTTTTAAATATTATTTTTTTATTAAAATTATTATTATTACATAATTTCAATATCATTATTAGAATCGTTGTTTTCTAAAACTATTAAAAATTAATATTAATTATTTTATTAATATATTTCAATACCAGAATTAAATTGAATAGTTAATTTCAAAATTTTTTTAAATAAAAAAATAATTATTATTACAAAACATGTGTTTGTTTGTGAATTTTTGTTACTAGGTGGCGCTACATTTTTTTGTAAGCCAAAATTGTTATGTAATTTACATTGTATTATACTGTATAATACGCTTTGTATTATACATACACTTTGTCTTTGCCAACACTAATTATTATTATATGGTAGTTAATAAATAACTTCAAATAATAGAAATATAAATACCAGGGTTAAGCAAGTTTTTTTTGTCTGAGGGTTACTGAGTGGGGTATAGTCTACACCGTATAGACTTTTATTATATTTTTATAAATTAAAAAAATAAGGGTTGAGATGTCAATTGATAATTCCTTATAAATTTCCAAAGTTTTCTTAGGCGCCGGAATTTCGAGAGAGGGTTCAATTTCTCTGCTTTTTAAAATTTTGCCAAAAAGTCTGGACAATAAAATCTCAAAAATCCTGGTCTCTTGAGAGGTAAGATGGCCTTACCCCCCCCCCAACCCCACCCCCAATCTTAACCCTAATAAATACATATTTATATTTATAAATTTACATTTTTGTTTTACAGTATTACCATAGATTGACTGACATATCAATTATAGTGTGAGGAATCAATTTTAGAAAATTTAAACTTTAGATATTCCCATATAATATGAGGCGCACAACAAATGTTTTTATATTTTCTTTCAAAATACTATTTAATTTTAATTACATGATTTAAAAATTATAATTATTAACATTTTACAATAGTATTTATAAAATTAATAATTATTTATATGATTTTCACAAATTAAATAAATGACGTTAAATATACAAATTAATTCATATTTATTACGGATGTCAGTGAATATGCGATAATAAGGTAAATATGAATATATACTTAAATTATAATTTATAAAATAACATTATTTTTCCAAAAAATGTTATTAAATAGTACTTACTTTACATTTTAATGAGTGATTAGATGACAAACGTTACTAATCCCGGATTTTCTTTGAGATAATTAGCAAATTAAGCATTTATTTTGTGGTTAAAATAGAGACAAACTTTTTATTAATATATAAACGACAATTAAATGCTAAATAAATTTAAGTTTGAATATTTGGTGTTTTCAGTTAGATATTCAAATGTTGATTGACTGCTAATATTAATTGATAAACACAATTGCATATATACTGTATGATAAATATAAGTGTTATATTACAAATTTTAAATAAACATTACTCTATCAAATTTATAGTGATTTATTAAAAATAAATTAAATCAATAGTTTGCATTCATTGGTCATTACAGTATATGTAAATATATAATACATCTATACTTTAGAGACAACCAATATTAAGGACAGATTTATTGAGGACTTAATAAACTTAATAATATTTAGAAGGTCTGAGGGAAGGCTTTGTAATAAATAAAATGTAATCAAAATATTTTAAATTTTGATTTTTGTTTGTATTTAATCATTAGTGTCCACAGTGTTGTTAATTATTGAATAAAATGTAGTTTTTGTTTTAAATATCATTACATATCGTTAACCATAAACATCCAAATCAACCCTAATTGTGTTGTATATACTGTTACTGTATGTAATCAGATATCACTTATTAAATAAACATTTGATTAGTCATTATACTTATTAAATATTATTTTAACTAATCTGATAACTTATTTAAAATATAATAAAATTATTTATAGAAATGTTATTTCAAGTAATTACATAAATATAGTGGTAATTAAATGATTAAATTTTATGATACTACTAGACAGATATAATTATTGTGCACAATTATTATTTTAAAATAAATCAATGATTAAATAAAGTTATTTTTTAATAGGAAAGTACAATATTTAATTTGTTACAACAATTTCTTAATAAATTGACAAAAACAATGTAAAAGTTAATCACTTAATAATAATTTTATAATATAACTTACTTCAAAATAACAATAATTTGATTATCTAATAAAAATTAATGTATTGAATTTATTTATTTAATAAACTGTGTATCAATTAGAAATGTGTAAATGAAAATTTCTTATAAATTTTTAAAACAAATTTTATATAAATTATGGGATCTCCTAATAAAGCAATTCTAATGAATAATAATAATCCTTTATTTTTATACAAATGATGTTAATATATATTTACTAGAATTAATATAACTTAATAATATTTATTTGTTTTATTAGTTTTTGCGATTTTTTTATAACTCATTATCTTTAGAATAGATATTCAAAAAATATGTGATAAAATGTATTAATTGTGTTAACATTGAATATCAGTTAACTTATTATTAATAAGGGGTGGTTCACATTTTACGTTCGCATTCGAGGGGGGATTGGCCAAAGCGAACTTTTGCGAACGCGTAGGAGGGGAGGGTAGAAAATTTAAAAATGTTTCTTAACGAATCATTTTGATAATATTTTATTTCTTAGTGGTGGTGGGGGAGGTAGTGGTTATGGACATGCTAACGTAATTTTCTTAAATGATTACATGCGAACAATTGCGAACATAGGGGAGGGAGGGGTCACGATTTCTTTAAAAAGTGCGAACGTAATATGTGAATGGTCCCTAATTACAATGTATTATTACAAGATAACAAATATCAAGATAACCAAATTAACATACGATTACATTAAATAGAATTTATTATTATAATAATATTAAATATATATATATAATAATACTAATACAGTATATTTTTCTTTGTTATGATAATTATTTAAATTATGCTTTTAATTATAATTATAAATATGTGTTCAAATTTTTATTTGAAATTTAATATTATATTAATATAAATAAATATTAAATTAATTTAATTATTATTATTTTTTATGATAAAAATATTTAAAGTTACCGGTAGTTTTTATTATAGTACTGTATACTACTGTATATATTATATTTATATGACAATTACGATTTTTATTGGTTTAAATATTTATTTAATGTAATTACAAAAATTAATTTATAATCATAGCATAACTAATAAATAATTTCAAGTTAAAGTTCAAATTCATAATTTACATTTATTAATATCATTATTATTGTATCGCAAATGATTTATTTGATATCGCTTTTTCAGACATTATACTGTATAATATTGTGTACACTGTATATCATAGTATAATATTTTGTAAATCATTAAAATATAAAAAAATCAATGTCTAACATAAGTGGTTTGCTTTAATAACATTTGCAAAACACTTTAAATTCAAATTAAAACTTTGATTATTAATAGTTATAATTTATATTTTGACGCAATTGAATAATATCTTAAATATTTATTTTTTTAAATATATAAATATATAATATTAATTATGTTGAAATTATATTACGTTGAAATATTAATCTATTAAATAATAATTAGATGATTATAGTAGAGTATAGTTTTATTTAATAAAAATATTAGAGTTGACACATAGTGTATGAATTTTAGTTATATCCAATTATTTTAAGGTTTAGAAGTTTTAATAGTTGTCTCATTTTTGTTTCACAAAATAAATACGGCATATAATGATATAAATTTAAATATACTTTTAAATTGTCTAATTTATAGTTTAGTTTAATAATTAAAGTCATCTTTTAAGAAACATAAGATTGAGAAATCATTATCCTATCCATAGTAACACATTCTAAAACTATTTACTAAAATAATAAATTATATTAATTTTATTAAATAAATAATTTTATATTATCAAATATCTTATTAACTAACATTGACTAACATTATATATATTTTTATAAATTTTAAATAAAAGCAAAATTCTTGTATAAATTATTTTTTTCACTAAATTAATTTTTAATGAGAATACTCTGAAACAATAATAAGAGTACATTTTTATTACATTTTCTCATTTTGTTAATCTCCCGGTTCTTTGTAAACATTATTCATAAATATTTAAATCAAATCACTGGTTAATACAAATTCAAAGGTTATTTAAACATTTTTGTTATAATAATAATGTCTAAAAATTTAAATATAGATTTTCTCTCATAAACTCAATAAATAAATCGTGTTTTTGAACAAAACAAAAATATTGTAATATATTTGCAATTCATGTGTTAGTGAATTGTTTACATTTGTTTCGATAACTAATGGACTGACTATGATATCAACAGTTGGGTAACTCTTAATTAAACCAAACTTATTCAAAGCTATATCTCTCTCTCTCTCTCTCTCTCTCTTTCTTTCTCTCTCTCTCTCTTATTTGCATAATATTAACGCCAATTTAGTGTTAAATAAAATTTACTATAATATTTGTATTCATCAAATTTAATGCACAAATATTGATTGGAAAGACTTAGTTTAAATAAAATTAACATTTCATAGAAATTCATTACAATTTAAATATTCAATATTATGCAATAAAAATGTTTTTTTTAAGTATAATTAATTTTTATATAATACATAAAATAAATTTAGATGAAATAGAACATTTATAAATATTTTATTATTTTAGAAATTATTTTTTTAAATATTAATAAATGAAATTTGCATTACATATATTGTTTATTGTGTTTAAATGCTATTATATGTTTTCAATTTCTACACATTTATTTTGATTTAAAATTTAAATAAATGTGTTTAAAGTTTCATAATTTAATCACACAGTGTTAACTAATAGCTGTTTCACTGGGAATTGTTTAATATGTTTTACATAAATATTTTATTTAAAAATATTTATTTAACAAATAAAACGGTATATTATATTTTGTTTTGTTGAATGCTTCCTACATATTGATATAATACACTATTTACTATTATACAGTTGTGTCAAACTAAACATTAATATTATAAAAAGTATTTATTTAGCAAAGAATCACTTTATATTTTATATAAATATATATATATTTTTAAAATAACACTCTATTTTAAAAATGTTTTTTAATAATTTAAAGATTAGTTTATGTGATAGTGTGAAAAGTTATGAGTATTTTCAAATGTTAACACTAAACTTTATGGTATAAGAAAATTACTCTAAATAATTTTTATATTATTATAAGTTATAATTTATAGCTTTATTTGTTAATTTATATTACAGGTAAGATGTTCATAGATTTGTAATCAACTTTAATGAAACTAAGAGTGTTTACTTGTATTAAATATTTAATATAAGTATTTCATTGCTTTTTGTAATAATGCAAATAAGATATATATTCAGTCATTTAGTTAATTAATTGCATAGATTTGGTTTTTATTGCTATTTTTGATAATTTTATAAAATTAAGTTTGAATTAATAATTTAAGATTTATTGTTAGATTAAAAAAATATTTGTCAAATTATTTGTTTCTAAAGTAACAAATATTATAGAATATTTCAAAGTAATTTATCAGCACTTAATTTACGAGAATTTACATTATTATTAACATTTAGAATGTGATAACTATTATGACAAACACAGCAATCAAACTAAATGTCCACTACTTTATCAAAAATAAATGCATAGCTTTTAACTGAATAAATATTTATCAAATCAATTGAATAGTTGACAAAAATTATGTGTCAAAATACTTTATATTCAATTGAAAATATTATCAATTTTTAAAAAAATGTTTTAATTATATATAAATGTAAATTAAATTAATTAAATTATAAATTATTTATCTTACATGTTATGCAGTTATTATAATATATTAAATAATAATAAAAAAATAATTGTTTAATAAAGTATGAAATTTTATATTTTTATAATGTATTCAATGTACGTTTAATGATAATACAAGTTTAAAATAAAAAAGGTAACTAAATTAATTTTTTAATAACTACTTATTGTAAACTGTATCTAATAAATAAATAATTAAAATGTTTTGAAAATATAATTTTTAATATAAATTTTTAATTATTTAATTATTTTTGATAAAATATTAAATATAAACAACAAATTTTATAATAAAAGAGACATAATCATATTATAATAAATAAATAATATGTAAATTAAAATTAAAGAAAAATCTTATAATAAACAAATATATTGTATTTTTTATATTTAATACTAAAAATTATGCTTTTTATAAATTATCTTCTCGTAAATTATTTGAGTTTTATATTGAAGCGAATATAGACATCATATTTTGTTTTAATTAATTATATTTTAATCTTTTTTTTCTTAACTTATTTTGAAACTAATTGTAGACCTATTTTATGCCTAATTTTGTGGTTTTAAACCATTTCTTTTAAATTGTTGATCGATTTGATTTGATTTGTCAATTCTTACCTTTTCTTATTAGTCATCATTTGTTGGTCTTATACCGACCCACACAACCTAAGTGACCGATTGATCAGGACTTTACAAATCCCATTAGATCTATTAACTTATCCCTAACCACAACAATATATATAATTTTAAGTAAATAAATATTTTTATATATCATTGTTTGTTAATGATTAACAAATATTGAATCTATAAAACTAATATAAAGTTGCTTTTATTTATAATACAATAGTAATTACATGCCATTAATATATTATATTTTAAAGAGTTATTTAAAAAAATATAATTATTAAAATAAATTTTGTGACAATTATAAAATAGTTAATGAAAACAAACTTTTGAAGATTAAATTTGAAGAATTATATTATTATATATTATATTTAGATAATATTAACTCTAGACTTATTATATTTTATTTATATAAAATTATTTTTATCTATATTTAAATAATATTATATATATAAAGCTCTATTAGTCTTAACTATTGTTAATATTGTTATTTTAAATTTTAGTTTAATAAATGTTAATACCATTACATTTATTTTGTTTTATTTTAACAATAATATTCAAAATATGCTTCTGTTTTATTTTATTGATAAAAATAAAGTATTAATCAAATTATATCTAATAAAAGTAAAATAATAGAAAACATAACTTAAAGACTGCTCTCAGCCGTGAGTTTTAATTTTTTAAACTGATTTTAATCTAACGTCAAAATTTGACTCAAAAAATCTGATAAAATATATTACTATAAATTAAAAATTTAGATAATAAACAAATTAAATATCTAAATTTAATTAGAAAAATTGACTTTTAAAGAAAAATATTTTAAAAATTAATATTATAAATTAATAATGAAATTTAATCATTAAAACATAATAAAACAAAAATGACTAATTAATTTGTTTAATTTCAAATGATTATAAAATAAAAATAAAATACTCATAACTAATGAGTATATTTGTGTATAAGCTATGAATTGTGAAATAAATAATAATATACCTTATTATACATAATAATTAACAATTATTTATAAACAAAGCACATTACACATCAAGTGCTATATATTTGATTATCTGTTATTAATAAAAAATAATATTAAGTATAATAATCCAAATAATATTTTATCATAAAATAGATATACTGTATATAAGACAATTAAATCGACAGCCAATGAGTAGAAATGATTGGACGCATCAATACATGACGTGGGCTCAGGGATGCCATGCCTAACAAGTGGGTTGAATAGAAAGAGAGAGAGAGAGAGAGAGAGAGAGAGAGAGAGAGAGAGAGAGAGAGAGAGAGAGAGAGAGAGAGCACTGTTTGTTCAATAATATTCTTGAGCGCAAAATTCTGTACAATAATTCCCAATCTTTTTATATATAAAACTATATTTTCTTTTCTCATCTCATTTTCTTCGATAACTCTTATCTTATATTAAGTGACCATTTAGTGAACAACCAATTGATTAGCACTTATATTAAAAATAGTTATTATCTTAAGTGTTTTAGTTATTGTTTTATTTTGTCATTTACATTTACATTTACATTTACATTTCAATTTAATAATTAAAATTAATTAATCCATTAATTAACTACAAAAGTTTGTTTAATTTGTTTAAACAAATCAGAATAACTTTAAATATGATGTCTAAGTCGTGTAAAAGCGTTTGTCATCCAAGAAATGTTGTCTCCATAGCTCTACTGAGTCTTTCATTTATATTTTTATCGTTAATAACTATTATTTCATCCGAAACTATTGCAAAAGTACCCGATTTTGAATCCAATACCGGATTGAATAACATTTATAGAAGCAGTGAATCCAATGTTATTCATAAAAATCCTTTGAGAAATAAGTGAGTAATAATAATATATATAATTTATATATTTAATAATTTTAAGCAAATTTTTTAATATGTTAAACATTTTCTCATAATATTGAAATTTCTAATAGAAAACATACAAATTTTAATTTAAATAATAATTATTATTTTGTTTTGTTTATGTTGTTTAATTTTTATAATTACTTTAATTAATTTGACTTAATCACAATACCGGTATATCTAAAATATATTTGAATATATTAATAAAATTAATAACAAAAAGTCATTAAAGCAAATAATACTAAAAAAATCAATAATAAATGAAGATTTATACATATATGTATTATTAAAATTTTATATTATACAATATAATTGATAGATTAATTAATTTTATTATTTGTTATTATAGTGACAATATGTTTTATACAATACAATTAATAAAATAGTGTTGCTATTTTATATAAAAAATACACTTAACTTTAATTGTTAATCAAAAGTGAACCAAAAATAAGTTAGAAAATTAAAAAAATAATATAAAGAATTTGAAAAATATGGGATATTTTAAAGAAATGAATGAATTGTTTGAAACTGTGACTCGAAATCATAACTTAAGCTGAAAATACTTTTTTTTTGTAAAAATTGAATAACAATTGCTTTTTAATAGAGAGTCAATTGTAAAAAATAAATGTAAAGAAAATAATCTTAAAATCCTATTCAAAGTGTGATTTATTTTTTAAAAGTATAACTAAACGAACTCTAGTTTAAAACATTTTGTTAGTCATATAATAGTTTATTATTACGAAAAATTACTATAGATTTATAACGTGAACCATATGTTTGCATTGGATAACAATTTACATAAGTTTCTAATTTAATACCATTTGATTAGATATAATTTGTTATGAAAAAATACTTTAAATATAAATGTTATTATTTTTAGTTATATCAAATTTAACACCAATTGATTGATTACGTTTCTATGACTATTAGATATTATGTCAAAATATGCGACAAATTATTTTATGGAAAAAACATAATAATATGACATCTAAGGGATATACATATATTATATATACTATATAGACTAAATATATTATTTTATTGAAACTTGAGTTACTTTTTTACTGTAATATAAAAAAATATTTTTTATCTAATTATAATTATAAAAATAAAATAAGATTTTTATTAGGTGTGTTTACCATTTGTTTGATGAAATACATTAATTTAATAACTTTTTAAATAATTAATCCATGTTTTGTTGTCTCACCTAATCTCGTACTAATGAAATACTATAATAATTATAAACAATTTTTATTGAAAAGTAAAAATAATGTTTAGATTAAATTCATGCTTAAAATATTGTATAATATTTGTATTATTTTTATGAATGAATTCATTATATTATTTATTATCAATTATTTTATAAGACTAATGATAGAAATTAATATCATTCACAATAATATTATTGTTAGATACTGTATATTATTATCAATTACATTACATGAATCATCAAAATATGCATTATATGGTTAAACGTTGGAAAAATCATTTGATTGTTATTTTATTATTTGATTGTTAGTATTAAGTAAATCACAACAAGTGAATGATTTAAAAAATAAAATAATTAATATAATAATGCTATATAATTGTATTGCGTCAAAATTATTAACATTATCTTTCAAAAATTTACTACAATTTGTTAAACTTGCTTAAAAATCATTAAACTTATAATATAGTTCATTATATTTGTATACCGGTATTTTATAATGTACAATATATTAGTGTTATATCATTTAATAACATTGTGAAATATGATGATAACATTAAATTTTATATTAATTTTGTTTTATTAATTTTATTGTTTTCATTTGTTGAGAAGACATTATTATATAATACATATGACATTACTTTTAATTTTTTATTCAATTGTTTAGATTTATATATTAGTATCGATTAAATGATTAGTTATAAGTTTATAAGTATATTTTAGTATTATACAGATTATAGTTTAATGTAATAATTTAAATTAAAACAAGTTATTAATATACGGTAATATTAATATAAAAATTTAGTAATCAATAAGTTAGTTATAATTTACAATATACTGTATATACATTTTTAGTGTTATTTGTTTTAAATCAAAATTTTGAGAGTTATTTACATATACTACATTTACAGTTATTAATCATCTATCATATAAATTATAAAATAACAAATTATTATTCAATTATTTTGAAAAAAATAATTAAATATTTTATTAATAATAAATTATAGTAAAAAAATATAGTGTATTATTAATATTTATTGTAAAATAAACAACACACATAAATATACACAAAATACAAAATATAAATATATTTAAAAATAATAAAATGCAAACTAATAATATTAGCAAACTTATTTAATTATAGTTTGGCAAATTTGAGGGGAATTTTATCAAAAAGGGCTAATATTAGGTATTTACGTAACGTTTTGGACGCTTTGGACACTAAATTGGAAAAATTTCAGTAAGTTTTGTCATATTTATTATTTATAATAAATTTTATATTCTATTAGTTTTATAATTATTGACATTTAAATATTGTATTTTCATATAACAAAATATAGTAAAACTAATTTTTTATATTTAGTAATAATTCACATTAAAAATCATTTATTGTTTAAAGATTGGTGTAATTAACTGTTTTAGCAGTCAGTTTACACTATATTACAAACAAACATTAGACTATATTATATTTATAATAAAACATATGCGAAAATTATATACAATTTTACTTACTTTATTAAAATATATTATATTAATATTTTATGTTATATTATTAAAATTCTATATATTTAAAAATATAGCATAATAATATTAATTAATAAAAAAGTTATGTTATAATAATTAGCAATAAACACAACAATTTTATTATTTTTTCAAATAATTTGATTAATCTATTTGTCTAATAATAACTACAAATAAATGCATGTTTTAAGTATTAATAATAATTATTATTTGTTTAGAATTTTTTAATAGAAATTACACCAAAAAAAACATTACATAACTAACAAACAAAACATACAATTCAATTCATATTAATTATAATAACTTAAATTTTCAAATAATTATTATAACATTTCTAAATCAGTTTTTTTTATAACATTATTTATTATATATAGTCGTTCAGCACTTGATGACGCATTTTGATGTATTTTTATAAATAAAATTATATATTATTTATTGGTTTTTATATTTTAATGAAGTAGACATACTGATTTAATAAATAAACTAAAATTAAAAAATAAATTAGTTTAATAAATATTAATTTAATTGTTAAAATACTTTTTCATGCAAGTTTTTGTAACACCATTTTTGAATAAAAAATATTTGAATTATATATTAATTGTAATAAATTATACCAATATATATAATTCAAATATTTTTTATTCAAAAATGGTGTTACAAAAACTTGCATGAAAAAGTATTTTAACAATTAAATTAATATTTATTTACTAATTTATTTTTTAAATTTTATTAAAGTTTATTTATTAAATCAGTATGTCTACTACAGTAAACTATAAAAATCAATAAATAATTAATAATTTTAGTTATAAAAATACATCAAAATGGGCCATCAAGTGCTGAACGACATACAGTATTATTATGAAACAAATATTACAATTGTTATTTATTAAAAAATCATAAAATAATTTTTACATTTAATAATAATATCACATGAGATTAGTTTAAATATGAAAAAATAGGATTTTTATAATATTAAATTGTAAAAGAAAAATATTTATATAGTTTAGTTAAAATTATTTTTTAACTTATCAATGAGTTTATTATTCAACTTATCAATACAAAAAATATTTTTTAAATTGTCAATACTGAAAAATAATAAAATTTTTTAGATTTTCATATTATTATTATCAAATATGGCATTTAATTTACATATACAATATAGTTATTTAATTTATAGTTTATCAATTCTGTATTGGTGTCAAAACTATAAACATTACAATATTTCTTATTAGTAATTTTAGCCATTATTATAGAGGAATTATATATAGTGTATATTATATATTACATAATTGGCATATTTTTTGTTGTCTATAATATTACTAAAGTTCTTAAATTAGTATATTTTATCAAAGGATATTTAAATATACCTTATGATTATAAAAATAATAAAATAAAATTTTAATATTATTTATTATAAACATAAATTATATATATAATTGTTAGACACAATATATTAACTAATTATATTTTTAAGTTTGAAAGTTATATTAAAAATAATATATATATATAACTTATTATTATTATATTTATATTATGTATTAAATATATTTACTATTATTATCTAACTTTATATATTATTTGAAATATTTAAAGATCAATAAAACTTTTATAAAAAAAAATCGATAATCTTTTTATGAAAGTTTTACAAATTTATATTAGTAATTTCTTTTACTATTTCAATAACATAAATTGTTTTTATAATTTTTATAAATATTATTGATAATTATTTTAAGTTAATTTAATTTTGAATAACAATATTTGTTTTATCAAATTTTATATAATACAGTATTATAAACTAAAAAATATTTTTTCTTTAGTTAATAAATTTAACAAAATACAAATTGGGTTTAAGTTAAGTTAATATGTAAGACAAGTTTAACAATCATTTTTAGACATTAATTTATTCCTGAATTAACGATTTTTAATTTTAATTGCAAGAAAAATACAAACATAATAATAAATATAATCTAATTAATAACTAATTTAGAGTTAAAATAAGATTTAGAGGGTTTAACTTTAATTAATGCAATTAACAAAAACACTTAACACTTGACTATTTTTAAAAATGGACAAAATATAAGTTACCCAATCATTTAAATATAAAAAGATATAATATGGAAATGTTAATGTTATAGAAAAAATACAATTTTTACAAAATATTAATCATCTATAATTGAAATCAATGATTATAATATTTACTATGCTTTAAACAGACAAATCTGTTTTTATAATAATAAGATAATTAAATAAATGTTTACTTATTATATGAGTAAATATAAAACATTTTTCTTTATTTTTCAAAGATAAAACTAATTTAACATAAAAAATAATATCAAATAGTATCAAAATTTATGATTTAGTTGAATACTTTATCTATATTATATATATATAACATCTATTTCAAATTAAATAATGTCAAAAACAAAGAAAAAATGTAAAATTCAAAAGATTTTAATATATATTTCTAAATTACAAAATATAAATACTACTCTATATATATACAATTTAATAACTTTTTTAAATAATTTAACTTAATTTTATTTTTAATTAATATAATAATAAATAATAATAAATATTTGATATTATTTTATAAAGAAAGTTAATATTATTTAAGAATTTAAAATTAAATATTTAGATTAGTTTTAATATTAATTGAAACTAATTTTTAATAGATAAGATATAATAATTTATTTTAAAGTATTAATGTTATTTGTTATATAAAACTTTATTAATTTATAAATTAATTTAACATAATATTATGTTTAATTTTATAGATTATTTAATTATCAATTTATAAAGATTCTCAATAGTATTGTTTGATACAAATAATAATATGCAATAGCAATCAAAATAAATTAGTTTTACTTAATATAGTGTAATCAACCATTTATGATGTCATATAATTAGTGTTGGCAAAAAAGAGAAATTTCTAGAAAGTTTCTAAAAAAATTTCTATCTATGGGATCCCCATGGTTAATTTTGTTTTCTTGATATTTGTTAACTTGCTTTTACATTGTTTTTACAATTAATAATTATATATAAGTATTAGTATTTTAATTATTAAAATACTGTAAAAAATTTATTTATTTAAATATATTAAACTATGATCTTTAATCTATGATTATGATCATTAAAAATGATGAAATCCCAAAATTGAAATTACATGAAACTATAATTATGATAATAAATGTAATTATTTGTTAGTGAACTTGTATTTTCAAAGTTTTTACTAATGAAAAGTAAGAGAAGGTTAGTGTTAAGTAGTATTTGAAAAATAAAAATTTTTACATTTTATTTACGTCTGTAAGAATTATTCAAAGTTTATCATAATTTCATTACAATTAGACCCACACTCATAAAATCGGTTTCTTGAACATTTATTCAAAGTGATATTGAGGCAAGCTTTTACCAGAATAATTATACATTCACATTATTTTTACATATTTTTAGTTTTGTTAAAATTTTAAGAATAATATTAGGTGAACTATTCAAATTGCCGAATATACATTTTTGGAAGACCTAATTTTGTTCTTCTGCCACCGCTTACGACAAGTGATCCGACAGAATATTTTCTTTCGTTTGAGTTAAAGGATAGTATATTTAATCTTAATGTCTAAAAAATAATTTAAAATTTTTTTTAAGATAGACTTTCTCACTATATAACGAACCCACTAATATATATATTATAATGATGAATAAAATTTTACAAAACTGATTATTATTAAATAATTATAATTATTTATTTATATAGGTATACCATATATGTATAGTATTACGTCTCATTAATATAGTATTATAATATCTATATATATGGGATCCCATAGATACAGTTAAATTTCTATAGAAATTTATTCCTGAGAAAGTTTCTAAAAACTTTCTCAGGGAAATTTATTAGAAACTTTCTATTTGCCAATCTCTACATATAATATATATGTATCATAATTAATTTTCGACAACAATTTGTTTGCTGATTAACATATGATTTATTTTGCTATATTTACACTTATATTTATAACATATATTTTATATTTGATAAATTTCATTATAATTTATGATTATTTTATAGATCTAATTAATTAACAAGATTTTAACGCAAACCCATATTTTAATATTGTTTGTTGGCTTATTTATCGGCTATTATTACAATATTTGATAATTAAATAATATATAATATTTACTATATTATAATAGACATAAACTTACTTTATATTATAGAGATTAATAGACAAAAATCAAATTAAAAGACCTTAACATTGATTCTCAATTTCATTACTAACCGGTACTCAAAACATAATTTGATTAAACATTATATTCAATATTTGCTTAATATTTATTACTTAATAATAAACTTTATATATTACGTAATCAAAATTGTTTTAGTAGTTATTATTTTTGATTAGATAAAGAGTAAATCTAATTTTATAAATATTAAATTGATGATAAAACAATATCTTAAGTTATAAGTTATAATTTTTACTTTTAACTATATTTGATATATAATAAACTTTTTAAAAGATTGAAATTATTATACTAAACTATATTTTAGTTATTGTTTATTTATTTTTAGAATTTACTTATTATTTTTTTAATATTATAATTAAATTTTATTTACATAGCATTTTATATTCTATACATTAAAGTATAGCCTTTGCTTTAGACAATATAAGGAAAAATCAAATATAAATTTGCATTATTTCAAACTAAAATATTAAAACTATATGTTTTATTATAACTTATTAGCTTATAATAATAATAATATTTTATATATAAATATGTAAATTATCAATTGTTTTTTTTATAGATGTTAATTTTGGATATGTTATTGTAAAATATTACTAAAAATATACTAAATTATTGAACAAATTATGAATTGATTGAATATATAAAAACATTATTGTTTTTATGTGAAGTTATGAACTAATGATTTGTTTAATAGGAAGAGAAACTGTTATATAAACGCCGGAATGAACCATAACTGCGATTTTAAAGATCTGATATCAGCTCTGAACGCCCGGCGCTTCTGGGAGTCAACACATTCACCCGGCAGACGAAAGAGACATACTTTGAGCCCTAAATTTGTGAAAAGTTTATTCAAAAAACCAACACTTTTCACAACACTTCCTAACTCTCAATAAATTTAATTTTGTTTCTTTTAATTCATTAATTTTGTTTTGTTTTCACACTATTAAACCAAATGTTAGACCGATATACGTATGAATAGTGATATCAATTGTTATAATTATTAATTTTTACAATAATATTTATTGTTTGGATATATTTTATGCATTACTAAAAATAACAGTGTTTTTTAACTAATGTCGTTTATTTGTAGTGCTATACAGTATATAGTTTAGTGTAGTGTTGTCCTATTAATTAAACAAAGTTTATATATAATTTATATATTGAATATATTATTATAAAATTTATTAAAAACAAAATTGTTTAAATATATTCATTTTCATCAATTAATATTCAATCATCATTTGGTCCAAAATTTTGCTTAAATTACAAACAATAATTTGGATAAACTCTAATAATATATATAATTATATATAATAAAAGTGAGTTTATATTTATAAATTACATTAATTTTTTTATTTCTATGATTTTCTAGAGATTCTATACTTAGAGATGTTAGACAAAAGCGAGTGCCTGAATGCCTATCAGGTTTGCCCGGAGCTGATTGCGATAATAATCAGATGGGACTCGAGAGTCTCGGACAGGGATACTTACGACCCGGTGGTAGAAACCCCGGTCGTTAGGCATCATATTATTTAAAACTAAAACATAATATTCAAATAAAATAATACTAACAAACAATATTATAAGCATAATAAGATAATCATTATATAATCGACTCAATATTTTTTTGTAAGAATGTGTTTAATTAATTAAATATATTTGAAAAGAGAATGAATGCGTGAATATATGCTTATTATATAAATTATTTATATAGCTTTGCATTTACAGTATATACACTAAATACTGTATACAGTATATCAATGAGTAATATATAAGTGATCTTTTTATATAATACTAAATAGCTTTATTGGGCCGACTATAAAATATTTAAAGCATGAATACAATCTATGACCCGCTGCTGATAGGTTTGGCACTGCTTTTGAGTATAATTTAATGTTTTGCAAAAAAACTGATTTATTATTTTAAATAAGAATTCTAATAAAATACATATTTTTATTTAATTAAATATTTTTAATTGCCTTCAAGTCATGCATCGCATGAAAGGCTAAAATATGCGATAAATATAAACAAAATTCTTTTAATTGAACTAATTTATAGTAAAATAATGTCATTAATAATATAATTTGTTAAAATAAATTGTTTTTGTTTTTACAGGCTTTTCAAATAGTCTTTACGCAAGAAAATTGTATTCAACAAAAATTGTGAAAATTGTATCAATTATTAAAATTTAAAATAATGTGTTTATAAATACTTTTGTTAATAAAAATATAATTCAATGTTTTCAATTATTTATATAATTAATGTTAATAACTAAATAAATATATTTTATTTAATATTTTATTGTTACTAAAAATAAAGTTTAATTAATTTATTTAGTATAAATATGTAATATCTATTTATTAATATATTAATAAAACATGATTTTATTTAAACAATAATTTTTAAATTTATTAAGAATTTTTCAAAATCAATCTGAAAACTCAATTCATATTTTTTATTTTGTATATAATATTTTAAACAAAATTTATAAAAATTATTATAAATATAAAAATTAACACAATTGAGTTTTTAAGTTATTAATAAGTAACTTTTTTAATAATTAAAATTTTAATTTATTGAGCAAATGTTTGAAACTATAATATAAAATGTCAAGAATGCTTTACTTAAAATATATAAAATATGAAAAATATTTTACATTATAATTAAATTCAAAAGATTTTATATAATATGTTTTATAAAATATAATTTATTAGGACATCAATGTATTTATTTACATTTGAGTATTAAATAACCATTAAAATTCAATTTAATTTATTTATTTTATAAGAGTCTTATAATAAAACTAAAAAAAGAAAAACATTTGGACTTGAAATTTAAAACTTACAAAATAAATGTATCATAAATATTGTTTATGCAGTCTAATAAAAACCAGTCGATAATTCTAAATAGCATTTCTAGAATAAACTTCTAAAAATATACTTAATTAACGTATTTGAGTTTTTTTATCTTTCTCATTTATATGAAATATAGATTAATACTAGGAATTTTTTTTATAAATATTCTTAGAATTTATTTTTAAAGATTTCTATTTGTCCATTTTTACGTATCACCCCTCACTTATATAGTTTATTTTTAAAAATAAAAACAATTTTTTGAAATATATTTATTGTGCATTTCGACTGTTTCTTAAAATATAACATTCTCTAAATAATTTACTACTTTTTCAGAATTTACTTTTTTTAAATGCAAAAGACAAACACACACATAGATTTCATATAATAATTTTTTTTTGAAATTTAATGATTATAATGTTAGTAATAATTTTAATTTTATAAATTCAATTATCAATCTAATTCAATCATTCATAAAATTAGTATTATATAAGACTTTATACAAAATAGTATTCTCATAAATGCAATATTATATAAACAATTATATTGTATTAAACAATAATTATAAAATCACAGTTAAAATAGTTGAGACCAATAAAGTTATAAACGATATGACAATTAATTTTTAATGTAATTCAGTTGATGTTTGTGTGAGAAAAGTCATGTGTTGTATTGATATCTCAAAAATTTAATGAAATAAAATACTATTTTATTTGACTAAATAGAATAATATAAGAAAAAAGATATAATTTTTTAAAAATTAATTTTCAAATAACTCCAATGTTTTAATAGATTTTTAAAAAGTTTTTTTTGTGAAAAATGTATAATATATAAAAACTTAAGAATTACTTTAAATCATAGATATTTTGATATAACACTTACCGGTAACTGTTTGCACATACATGACCTATACATGTATTACTATATGTTTTATAGTTATTTATAGGTTGCCATAAAATTAAATAGTTATGTGATTTAACTCATTGCTACATTTCTGAGACTCTATTATTTTTACAATGATTATCAGGGTTAAGCAAGGTTTTGGATTTTAGGGGGGGTAGACTGGGGTAAAATTTACAAAATTCTCAAAAAATCTTGGGGGGGGGGGGGGGGGGGGGGGGGGGGGGGTAAGATTTTTATTGCTTTTTTAAAAGGCAATTATTTCAAAAATCCAAAATCAAGGGGGGGTCTAAAGATAATTCCCTAAAAATTCCTTAAGTTCCCGAATATTCCCATGTAAATTCAATAAAATTCCCACAAGTTCCCGTATAAATTCCCGGGAAAATAGGTAAAATTTCCAAAAATATAAAAAAACTTAAAAATTAACAAAAACTTAAATTTTAACAAAAAAAATAAAATGTATTTAAGATTTAAAAATAGTTGATAAAAGAATTAATGATACACTATGAGTTATTTTTAGTATTTTAATAATTTTTAACTTTTAACATAATTAATTTTTTAAACAATACTTAATGTTTATAGTTTGTTATATATTTTTATTTTTATACAAATACTGACTGAATACTACTTATTTAACTCAAATTTCGTTAAAGTTTAATTATATTAAGTACAAAATTGAAAATATTTTTAAATTTTTTATTTAAAATTTAAAAATTATTAATAAAAACATAAGTATTTATTGTTTTATTAACTTCTTAAACTTATATTTAAATTGTAATATGATTACTCTTTTCAACAAATAGGTAATTTATTGATGACTTTTAACGTTATTTTAACTATTTTTAATCAATAATTAGATTTTTATAAATATTAAAAACATAAAAACACTTACTAAAATAGTATCAACTAAAATTAAAATTTTTATAAATTTCAAAAAAATTTTCGGCGCCGAAATTTTAGGGGGGGGTCATTTCTCCTCGTTTTTAAGCGACAATTTTTTCAATTTGGTCAAAAAAGTCTGGGTGGTAAAATCCCAATTTATCGATCTTAGGGGGGGGTATTTTGGCCTTACCCCCTACCCCCCTTACTTAACCCTGATAATATATATACAAATATTTCTTTAAACAAGTATAATTGTATAAATGTATATATTTTGAAATACATGTTTGTAATTTATTTTATATCTATATGTGTCTATAATTATGGTAATATACCTAAAAATGTATTAAAAATGTGTTATTTCATAGTTAAAAAATAATATATCTTTATTTTATTGATTTAATTTTTATTATATTCAATACATTAATACACATAAGACGAGTAAACAGTTATACTAACATTGATAGACATATTTATAGGTTTTATATGAAATATTTAATACATATGTTTATAATTAATAATATAATTAATAATTTATTGTTGAAATGCTATTATTGTTAATAAAATTGAGAGAATTTTCTGGTAAGTTATTGAGAATTTTTTAAATATAATAATATAAAAATACTACAGAAATCAAATAAATGTAAATTTATTTAAAAATAAAATTTAAAGATCTAAAAAACGAAATTGTTTTCAATCAAATATATTAATAATTTTAATTTTTTTTATAGGTATTACGTTATACCTAATTAATAATAATGAATTGTGTTATTTATATTGAAATATATTGTCACAAATTGATATATACTTTAGAATATTGATTTATTTTTCTAAAATTTAAAATAAAATTATGTATTTAAAAGTATTTTTTACAAATTTGTTATAAAATTTTATAATGAAAATTTATTTAAGATATTTATTATACAATTTTTATTTGGCAAAATTGAAATTTCTAAAATAATTGACAAGTTTCTAAAACGTTTCTAAAAAAATTTATTTCTATAGGATTCCCATATTAATTTTGTTTTATCTCAATTTTTGTTATATTGTAAAAGTATATTATAATTATTAATAATAATCAATTATTATTATTAATATTGTAATTAACATTTAAAATAACAAAATTATTTAAGTAATAAAAAATTCTAAAATTTTTAACAATTTTAAAAATAACTAATTATAATAATATTATTATATTAATTTTAAATATAAAGATCCCATTTGTATAATAGTAATGTGTATATTACAGTATTAAACTAACTTTATATTATCTCATAGTATAACAATAAAGTAAAATTTCTATAGAAATTTATTTCTGAGAAACTTTCTAGAAATTTTTTATTTGCCCGTCTCTACATCAATACATATTATATATACTACATTTA